GGTCAAGCTGGGCCGGATGTCGACCCTTCTAAATCCTTGACGTGGAAGGTTGGGACAACAAAGAGCTTTGTACAACATTGGGTGGTTTGAGGGTGTTTTAGGGTTTAGGGTTTAGGGCTGAAGCCCCAAACATCACGAGCTCTTAGGTCCACATTGCTCGAACGCCAGCACTCAGGGCAACGACGGCAGCCATTGAGGCAAACCTTGCTGAGATGCAAGGTTTTGGGCTCATGCCGCCATGTCAATACTGTATGCCGCAGTAGTATTGCGAAGAATTGATGCGAAGAATTGATGCTGAGAATTGATGCTGAGAATTGATGCTGGTCTTGCTCTGGTCTTGTAAGCTACCCAGCAAGGTCTGATGCTGCCGCGAAGTGCAAGGGCTCAAGCGGTCCAGTACTGGTCTTGGAGGTGAACTTTAAGGGCGCTCTGGGAGTAGTGCCTCACGCTTCGCATCGCAGTTAACTAAGTGGGGCCAAGGCACCTCCAGCCGGCCTGGCCCGGCTCCTCCGGTGTTTTAGCACTGTCCTGTGCAACAGGCACTGTCAGGGTTCGGGAGCCTGCGCCTCCTGGAAAGCGCCGTAAGCAAGTAAGTGTGTAAGAGTGCATATGTGTGTGTCATGAATGGAAACCCATGTAATTGAAGCCATGATGGATGACTGAACCCCTAAACCCTAAACCCTAAACCCTAAACCCTAAACCCTAAACTCTGAACAAGGGTGGCTTACGGCTTTTGGCCCCTTTTCGCCTTTGCCGCGTCTGTGCCGGGGTGCCCGTCAGGCATGGTAAGGCCTTTCAAGCCGGTGAGCAGGCGGAATAGAAACTGCCACCCCCTGGACCATCTGCCTAGGAGTACTAGCTAGTAGTAGTAGTAGTAGTAGTAGTAGTAGTAGTAGTAGTAGTAGTAGTAGTAGTAGTAGTAGTAGTAGTAGTAGTAGTAGTAGTAGTAGTGGTAGTAGTAGTAGTAGTAGTAGCAGTTGGAGTAGGAGTAGGAGTAGGAGTAGGAGTAGGAGTAGGAGTAGTAGTAGTAGTAGTAGTAGTAGTAGTAGTAGTAGTAGTAGTAGTAGTAGTAGTAGTAGTAGTAGTAGTAGTAGTCGTGGTGGTGGTGGTGGTGGTGGTGGTGGTGGTAGTAGTAGTAGTAGTAGTAGTAGTAGTAGTAGTAGTAGTAGTAGTAGTAGTAGTAGTAGTAGTAGTAGGTTTGCCCCCCCTGGTGCGACAGACAAAACACACTTTTTTGGGTTTTTTTTTTTTTTCAAAAACGCGCGTTTCGCTTGGGTTTTTGACAGTGACTTTTGAAAATGTGCTCAACCGCACTATAAAAGTGTCGTTTTCAAAGGTTTTTTTTTAAACAATTGCGTCTTCGACGACAAAAAGCTGTAAATACCAGCATTCGCGCTCGATATGTTTTAGAAATTTCAGGTTTTTTGCGTCTCCAAAAAACACTTATTTTCAGCCTCGATTTTGCCGATCGCGTTTGTGTTCTTTTTTGTCTTCTGCGGCCGGAGATGCTGTAAATACCAGCATATCTGCTGTTACAGTCCCCGAGAATGCTATAAATTCCAGCATTTTCGTGCTTGATGAAGCGGGCAGGCGCACCATGCCGAGCAAATTTACTGCGCGACGCATCCTCTCTTTTGCGGGGTGGGGTGGGGGGGTGGTGGGGCGGGTGGGGGGGGGGGGGTAGTTGCGTTTGCTGCCCGCGCGTGCGAAAGGTCACAGCATCCATGTCCGCGCCATCATACTGTCCGCGTCATCAGTGCGTGCGAACGGCCACAGCATCTATGTCCGCACCATGATAACGTCCGTTTTACCAGTGCGTGCAAACTTTCCAGAGCATCCATGTCCGCACCATTGGAACCAGCATATCTGCTGTCACATTCGCTGAAAATGCTGGAAATTCCAGCATTTTCGCGCTCGATGAAGATTGCGGGTGGGGTGGAAGGGGGGGGGGGGTAAATACGTTTCAGATAGGCGAACTTTGTGTGTTACCCGTGCATGCGAACAGGGTATATAGAGTGTACGGTCTAGGGTATAGAGTTGACAGAAGGGTTCCAGGCGCCTGCTGGGCTTAGAGTTTAGGTCTCAGACCTTCTTCTCAAACGACGTGCTGCTGCAACGAACAGCATGACATATTCTTCGGGTTGACGCGTTCATCTTGACGAGTCCAACGGCATCCGCACTGGGGGGGGAGGGGAATTGGTAGTAGTAGTAGTAGTAGTAGTAGTAGTAGTAGTAGTAGTAGTAGTAGTAGTAGTAGTAGTAGTAGTAGTAGTGGAGTGGGAGTAGGAGTAGGAGTAGGAGTAGGAGTCGGAGTCGGAGTAGGAGTAGGAGTAGGAGCTAAACCCCAGCTGTTCGTCACCGGCAAACATCCAACTACAAAAACCGCGGGCCCCATGTGTTCCATGTGCCCCATAAACCCGACAAGCCCAAGCCCTCAAAACCCAAGCATGTCTTTGGGAGCCTTGGGTTGCACTTTATCCGTTTTAGGTGCTCGGTCACCAGGAGCACTCAACAACCTAAGCCCCTTGAATTGTAGCGAGCCTTGCGCGGCCAGGCTGGCGAACGGGCAGCCGGCCGCTGCCGCGCGGGCTGCCGCCTCCGTGCAGGTCTGCGAGGTTGAAAAGTGGTTGAAAGGGCTGGTAGAGCTAAGGGGCGTAAGGGCGACTCTTGCTGCGTGGAAACTGTAATCATGACAGTACCACGAGGGTGGTACCAGCCAGGGGCCCGATTGAACACGAACACACACAAAAGTAACCTCAGAGTGACACGATGGCAAAGAGTAGGAGCGCGGACCATGGAAATTGCTCTTAGAGATTGCTCCAAGAGGTGCTGGCAGACCCACAGCCGGTATCCCAACTTAGGGAACATGAAACAGGTCCTTGTATGTGTAAGATTGTAACATCCGGAACTGCCCTGAGCTTGTGAGACGCGGCCTCTGCGTGGCTGGCAGCTGGCGCGGACGCTGGTGGTGGCACGGGTTCCGCCTCTGGTCCCAAAACCCTGGGGCCTAAACCTACCGAATCCTGGAAGAAACCCCCCTCATACGGCATCCAGCCTCAAAGCCCGCTAGCGAGTCCAGCTCCTGAGCGGAAATAGGGGCGGGACACGGGCCGCCAGGTATTAATTGAGAACTGGCAACTGGCACTCCCAGACATCGCAAGCCGCATGAGACGGCCACGCCGGCCTGGAATATTCGAGTGTTGAGGAAGAAGGCGTAGTTCGCCTCCTCGACCATACCTTGGTCAGGGGTCGCTTGCGGGATTGAGTGTGGGCTCAGATATTGTGCTATGGACAGGCATGGCTCTGTGGTGATGCCATGCTCAGGGGCAGTACACACTGTAGCATGCCGTAGTAACCTGGCTCTATACATATACATATACATATACATGTACATATACATGTACATATACATATACATATACATATACATATACATATACATATACATATACATATACATATATATGTATGTATGTATGTATGTAAATATAAATATGAATATGTCTATATATATATATATGCCTCAGGGCAGAGTTCTGAGAGCGACCGAGCTGCGGTCTGCAGTTGCGCTATCCGCCTGAAGGTTGTCCATGCGGGCGCGATACATATTCCTTGGCCGATCTCTGAAGAGGAATCCCCACCAGTCGCTCGACGTTGTCACACAAATGACCGGGTGATACTGCATGACCAGGGCTCTTGAAGTTTTTGAAGTCGGGGATCCGCTTGAAGATGTAGAACCGCACGCCTTGGCAACACGATGCACAGCAAGACTTCCGAGTCAGCTTCGCTGCTCGGAACAATGCCTACTTGAGAACGGAGCGACCGAACAGTACAATTCCCCCACCTCATGGCCCCAGAAACAACGAAAAGCAAGAAACAGGAGCAGGAAAAGAGATCCAGTCAGTTGGTAGACGATACAACAACACACAGTATAACGCCGGCTACAAGGGAACCCGGCAGGGAAGCGGATGCAGAATCGGCGCTGTGGGGCTTGCAGGGCTTAGGGTTGAAACTTGCTTTGGTTTAGGGGTACATGGGCATGGGGCTACAGGGGCTTGATGCGGAGTTTCGGATGGGCCTGCTCCAACCAAGCTCGGCTAGTCACACCCTCCTAGCAAGAGGGGGGTCGCATGTAAAGGACATATGAGGACTATCCCAAATAGGCTAAGGTTACCTACTCTACGAAGAAGCCGTTGTTGCTTTCGGCCTCATGACGTCTCATGCCTGTGGCCGGGTTGCCTTCTTACCGTAAGTCCTTTTGAACCGGACTCTCTCTTACTGTAAGCCCTCAAAACCTAACCCAACAATCATGAACCGCAAGCCCTTTTGCTTCCTGGGCCGCGGGACAGACGGGTTAAGGACCACCAAGAACCCAATGAGCTGCGCTCGTGGCTAACCCAGGAGCTCACCGATGCGCCGACAACACGAATCCGAAACGACTTCGAGCAGCAGTATTTGGTGGAAGCTATCAAGAAGTAAAGTGGACAGATTCCGAAGTTCAGTAGAGCTTTCTGCATAAAGATCTGCATTGACCTGCAACCGTAAGAAACCCCCTAAACCAAAACCGTAACCAAAAAAATCTTCCTAGCACCAACCTTTTCCCCAAATCTCTTTTTCTGCATCCGGGCGATGATGTCCCCAAACACCTTAACCGAAAACCCCTATAAACCCAAAACCCAAGGGGGTCCGCGGGGCCGGACATGTGGGGGCACGGGGGCTAATTGCAACACTGCACCATCACACATATGCCCCCCCGCGAGCACATGTAAAATTGTTCAATATGAGGCGGTGTCTCTGAGTCTGAGCAACTGAGCGCGATTGCACTGTGAACCAAAATATCAATATCTATCTATCTACATATATCTGTTTTTGTTTAATTAATTTATTGGCTCCTTCATTTACTTATTAATCTCTATTTCTGGAATTTTTATTTGTTTATAGGTACTTATTTATTTATTGATTCTATTTATATCTGTATTTATCTATATTTTGTTTTCAAATCACCACCCCAGCCGCCCAAACTTACCTACTAGATGCACAATCAGAGCACGATCACAGACCAGATTGCTTTTTCCAACCATGGAAGCATCTCTCCTGCAGCTGCTGCAACTGGAGAAGCTCATGCCCTCCCCAGAACACCAGCGCCGGTGTTGATCCAAATTTCGCGGCGCCTCTCCGCAGCTCCGGCAGAATGACACGCCGCAGCCAGAGCAAGGGAAGTAGACGGCTGACACCAGCAGCTCGGACCTCGGCCCTTGCTGACAGTGTCCCCACAAGTCGGCTCGCGCGTTTGTCCCGCCGAAGCCTTGACACTGGGTTCAACAGCGAACTTCGCTACGCGATCCTTTTTTCACTAGGTATACCTTTCAACTTTCAACCATCCAGAACTATTCACAAGCAGGGTACTACAGTAATTGAGCAATTGGGGATTATTTTTGGACGGGACGTCGGAAACAGTCCACTTGCACAAATATCGCCTACTGAGCTGCTGAGAGCCGCCAACATACACTACATATATTACATATATTACATATACTACATATACTACATACACTACATATAGTACATATACTACATATACTACATATACTACATATACTACATATACTACATATACTACATATACTACATATACTATATATACTAGATGTATATATATATATATATATACTATATATATATGTATATATATATATACATCCCATATATAGTGTCATACTGACAAGAAGCCAAAGGATGACACGCCGATGTTCTGGCTGTTTCGGTCGGCGTCGACACACTCGTCCTCATAGAGGCACGGAAAGCCACTGGTGTCCAGATTGGGGTTCAGGGCACGCAGATGAACGTTGGGAGCAGATGTGGAAGTCATGAGCATCGAAATGCACTTGGCCAAGCCATTCAAGCCAGCAGACGACTCAGCATGCCCAACATTGCTTTTGGAGCTCGTCATCATAAGGGGCCTGCTGCGGTCGGACATGACCCCACGCAAGGCCCCTACCTCGATGGGGTCTCCGAGCGATGTACCGGTTCCATGGCACTCTGCCACGGCCACAGAGTCTGGGCTCATGCTGGCCATGCGCAAAGAGGCTCGGATACAGCTCTGCTGGGAAGGGCCATTTGGTGCGGTCAGGCTCGCACTGCGCCCGTCTTGGTTCACGCTGCTTCCCGACAGACTGGCTAAGTGTAGTTCCACATCCTCCTCCTCCTCGTCCAAAGCTAAGAACACGGAACAGCAGCTTTCCCCACGACCAAAGCCCTGGGCGCTGCTGTCAAAGGTGAAGCAGCGGCCATGGACACCAAGGAAGCCTGCGGCACCAAGACCGACAAATCCTTCGGGACCAAAGAGAACGCGCACACCAGCCACCAAAGCACCCCTGGACGTTCTGCTTTGGGAACACTCGCTCTTCAAGTGTAAGAGCTGTGTGTGCGCATGGCCTAGGGCCACCAGCGAGGAGGAGCATGCAGTGTCGAAGGAGCAAGCGCCGCCACGCAAACCAAATATGTGCGCGATGCGAGCTGCCGTTGCAGCACTCGCCGTACTGGTCTGGCGGCACGCATCCACGGCTGGGCAATAAGTTGCGGACTCGTTGGCGCAATCCCCCACATAGGTACTGATCCTGCTGCCCTTCAACGAGTCTTCGAGGCCCGCATCCTGCAGTGCCTGGTACCCCGTTCGCAATACCAGCCGCTGCTCCGGAACCATGAGCTGCGCCTCTTTCTCTCGAAGGCCATAGAATCCTGGGAGATCTTGGGGTGCCTGTGGCTACAAGGTTAGAACCTGGGCTCGAGTCTGTACACATATTCCCGGATCATATTCCCGCACCTCACATCGGCTTTCCCTTCCTAGATTTGGGTCGGTCCTGCATCCAGCTCCCAAAGCTCGGAGGTCTGTAGGAAAGCTGCATGCTTGGTGCTGGTCTGGCCCCGCGAAGCAGCTCCCTCGTCCCACGCGTAGTAGATGGAGGGGTCCCATCTGTCCGGCGCCACTTCAGTCTGCGCCTCGGCTCCTGCGGCGAGGAGAGTCCAGTAACTCTCCTTGGTGGGCGGTGCAGGGGGCCCGAAAAGGGAAAAAGATCCGACAGCTCCCAGTTGCAGACTTTTTCATGTCAAGGTGCCGGGGAGTCACATGTTCCTGGCAGAGTTGTGGCCACGGACTGCACCTGAACCATTGGCGCCAGTGGTGGAGGTGGCCCGGTGAACATGAACTCATCGAAGTGCTCCATGTGCTGTCAGAGTCGAGGGCCCACGCCCAAGAGTCTGCAAGAAACATGAAGGGAGTTCAATGTCGCGAGGCGCTCTGCATCAGACAACCCTCGGTATCCCCGGCCGGCATTCCGGCGACAATCTACTTCACTGACCTCTAAACCCAATCATGGCTCACCCAGCCGACATAACTTTGGACCTGGCCACAAAGGCGACATGACGCAATCTGCATAAGATCTCCACAAGCCGAGCATTGAGCCCAACAGAAGTAAAGGGCGAGTTTTCAGGCAGTGCGAGGACACGATTGAAGACAACAGTCGGGCAGGTTAGATCTCGGAATGTGCAAGACTACACGCATCTAAGGCACCCGAGTCGTCATCAGGAAGCTTCATCCCCCGTATCGCAGCCTCAGCAGGAAAGCAGCTCCAGAAGGAAGAGTCTGCGTGGTGGCTCTAGCACGCCGATGTTCGCAACAGTCCGATGTCTCGCAAAATCAGGTGAAGAGAAGATAAGTCCTGCCTTCTTCAGGACCTGGCCACCACTAAGGTCCCCAAGGTACCTCGCAGAATGTACACGTGTTTGTATGACCTCCCACAGTTGTTCGAAGGCGTGTCCCCAAACTGCTTTCCACCTGCCTGGTGTAGGCATGCGGGATAAGCAGCTCAGGCGACTCCCCCTGGACCTGCTTGATTCTGTTGACGTACTCTCCTGGGACTTGCAAGGGTTTGTCCGCCGAGCCGGCAAGTGAAACACCTGCTTGCAACATGTGCGCACATGTCTGTCCTATGCGATACGTTGTACCCTGCAGTTCGTGCCAACACTACTTCCGAGAGGCGTGTAGTCTTCGATGGCAGGGTCTCATTCTGCCAATTCCTCGGAAGCACTTCCAGAATCTGCCGCAGATTACAAATAAAGAGTCACCGTCTCGAACTGCAACCGCAACAGCTGCAGCTTTTTACACAAGCTGTCATGCGTTGTGGGGAGGGGACCTGTTCAAGGCGGATAGTCAGGTGTCAGGTGCTCTTGCATGTCAAGGCTCTCCCCAAGGAAGAATGCTGCATCCTGCTTGAGCGCTGCGGTCCTCTCCAGCTCTTCCTCAAATCAGCTGGCCGGCAGCACAGCAGTCATGGTCAGGGAGACTGCTAAGGTCGAGAAACGGGGACATGGGGTTTCAACAAAAGCAAGTTGCAGAACCCCAACCTCCGTCAAACAGCCCTCAGAAGAAGAAACCGTCAACCCGAACCCTCAAATCCTACCATCTAGCAGGAGCGGCCGCACACTCCATCTAGCCCACGCCTCCCCACGCTGACAAGCGGGAAATCACAAGCACCCTCAAACCTAAATCCTGGCAGGGATGCTGGGAAGTGTAGACTCTCGATCAGCGGGTGCTCGGCATTGGCCTCCCACAGCTCAGGAGATGGGGGCTTCAGTGCTGAAACAGGAAGATAAGGTTTTAGGGTTTAGGGTTAGGGTTTAGGGTTTAGGGTTTAGGGTTTAGGGTTTAGGGTTTAGGGTTTAGGGTTTAGGGTTTAGGGTTTAGGGTTTAGGGTTTAGGGTTTAGGGTTTAGGGTTTAGGGTTTAGGGTTTAGGGTTTAGGGGTGAGGGTTTAGGGTTTAGGGTTTAGGGTTTAGGGTTTAGGGTTTAGGGTTTAGGGTTTAGGGTTTAGGGTTTAGGGTTTAGGGTTTAGGGTTTAGGGTTTAGGGTTTAGGGTTTAGGGTTTAGGGTTTAGGGTTTTTCCCCACCCGTTTCGCATGCGCGTACGGGGAAGAGGTCAGTAAGCACAATGGCCGAAGTTCACATGACGACTTCCGGATGGGTGGGGCCGCAGGGCTGCTTAGGCAGGACCAGCAGTAAACAAGCACGTACCAAGAGTTCAGGGCATACGTTTAGGGTTTAGGGTTTTGGGTTCAGGGTTTCTGCAATCATTCTCTGCAGCAGCAGGCTTCACGGTGTTTAGGGTTCAGGGTTTAGGGTTTAGGGTTTAGGGTCTAGGGTTTAGGGTTTAGGGTTTAGGGTTTAGGGTTTAGGGTTTAGGTACGTTTTGAGTTCTGCAGACATGGGCAGTTTAGGCTCGGGTTCAGCGAGGTGTGAACCCACCTCTAAAGCCTCCTCGAGCGCACTGTAGATGTGGTAGAGGTTCACCACCTCGGACAAAGAGATCCTTTCAAGCAGGTTCGGGCAACAACAAAAAAACAGGCAAGCCAAGTTTGTTGTCAGACCCCTCACACTTCTTAGGCATCTAGGTTCCACTGAGCCGGCGGCGAACTGAGCGTAGATCCTGGGCCACTGGATTTACCAGAAATGCCGAGCCAAGGCATGGGACTCTCTCACCTTGCCTCCGGAAAACCTTACAAAGCTCAACCCCCGAACTGCCCAAACAACCTGCTTGCGCCAAGTCACTGCCGCGACACCCTTCCCCGCACGAATTCCTGCAGACCGACTGGTCTCTTACACAGCTCGCATGGCAAAAACAAAAAAAGCGGCCCCTGAAGCCTCTAGCCTCTAATCCACAACCATCAGAGGAAAACCTTAAACCATCCTACACCCAAACCCGGAACTTGAAACCCGAGATCGTCGAACCCCCCATTCAACAACCTGCACCCCCGCGCATCCATGTACCTCCCTGAAAAAGCTCCCAGTGCGTCTGGGTCAACCCTAAACCCTTAACCCTAAACCCTTTTGCCTAAACTCGAAGGGGCCTTGACGAAATGTACCGTCTCGGCGGCCTGGTGCGCCTCTTTGGTGCCTCTGGGAGGGCCGCCCCGCGTAGAAGCATTCTTACAAGCACGTGCAACCATTGTAGTTTAGGGTTTAGGGTTTAGGGTTTAGGGTTCAGGGTTCAGGGTTCAGGGTTTAGGGTTTAGGGTTTAGGGTTTAGGGTTTAGGGTTTAGGGTTTAGGGTTTAGGGTTTAGGGTTTTGTATAACCATATGGGGGGGTGTACGCAAGTAGGGGACTCCCAAAATAGACCCCGAGTAGCAGGATTCCCTGATTAAAAAAGGACCCACAGAAGGTGCCCTAAGACCGTAACCCCCCAACCCCCATATATGTAAAAAACATAAACCTCGGTGCAAGTTTCTAGCTTCTAGGGTTCGGGGTCGAAATAGAAAGATGTAGGGTGACCTGCCAAACATGTACTTGGTACATGACCGTGAGGTTTGGGGTAGAGACAGCACAAGGAGCAGGACGGGAAAGCAGCCCGCCTTCTTTCAGCTTGCAGGCTAATCCTTCATCTTGCACTTCAGCTAGTTGTGCCTGCGCACAGCATCCGCAGCTGGCAGCCATCCCATCGATCCTCAATACCTAACACCCCGAAGCCTTGAGCCTCAAATCGATGACATGTTTAATTAACTTCGCCTGCTCCTCACCGATCCACAGCCCCCAGGAGCGCCACTCCAACCTGGGAGGAGGGGGGGGGGGGGGGGGGGAGGCTATCTTTCAAAAAATCGACAGATTTGTTGGCATCTTGCACTGGGAATGTTTTTGCGAGGGGGGGTGTCCATGATGCAAGAGATTGCAACCCCACCCACAACCTGGCCCTGCCAGGCTTGTCCAAGCCGCTCCGCAGCCAAGGGGGTGCCACTGGACGTGATGCAGTTCTTGAAAGGACAGGCCTCCTGGCGGGCGAGTTTCAAAAACATAGCGATGCCCTTTTTTGGGGTTCCTATCATATGGAATAACATACATTCTTTGTGCTAACGTGCAAACTCCAGGCTTGACAGGGCAGCCAGAAAGGGACAACCTAGGCAAGGATTCGACTGCAATGGCCCGACTTCCTGCCAATACTAGGCAGTATGATCGCAGATCCTCATGCTCCACAGGACCCCCAAGTCTTTGGGCTGAGCAACCCCTGGTCTTTGGGAATGGGAACTCCCAGCATAAGCCAGAAAACCCACTGGACCCAGCGCAATATTGGTGGAGGACCACGGACATCTCGTCCCTTACCCATTCCAATGACCATTCAGCATAGGTATGGAAAAACAAAATCCTTCAAGGTTTGGAGGGTTGGGCACGGATGGCGGCACCAAGCGTCCTAACCCTAAACCCTAAATCCTAAACCCATACTCTAGCAAGCCAATCAACACGCACAGTCTCAAACATGAGGACAAACCCTAAACCCTATACCGCGTCAGCAAGGCAGGAGCAAGAGCATGCCGGCCTGGAAGACTGGGCAGTCGGCTCCCACTGTCTGTTTCATCGACTGGGATGCCTCGCCAGGGTTTGCTCTCATCAGCTCATCTCTAGATCCGTGAACAAAAACTCACCTCTTTTACGTTCTTTAGAAGAGAAACTCTTGACTGTTAAAGAACTAGCCCATCATTGCCCATCTGCCTTGTGTACCGTCTTCAGCATGTCCATCAGGGCTTCATGCGGCTTGCCACTGACAGTCGCTTCGTCCGTCGGGGCCTGCATGCTGGGCACCAGTAACGCGACCGCCTTCGCAAAACCGGACAAGAAGTGGTCAGGAGCTGCTTGGATTTTTTTTGCGCTTTCTCCAGCGGCTTTTGGAGTCCAACCTCAATCTGTCTTGGTGCAGCGATGAGAAATCCAAGTGCGGTTTTCAGCTCTCGGCGGACGAGTGTCAGCCAGTGTTCTGGAAAAGCCAACGTGAAACAATCCTAATCCGACACCAGATGCTGCCAGTGCTTGGCAAGCACGCATGACAGAGAGACGCGGTCTGCGTGTGGGGCCTGGAACCCATCTGAGGCAATAGTCGTTTGCTCTGCGCGTTTCGACCGACACCGGTGCCGGTAGCGCCAGTAGTGCCGAAGGCACAGTAGCCTCACCTCCAACGATGTCCAGCGACCAGACAGGCACTGACCCTGGAGTGTCTGGCCGTTCTAACCTGACGGAGCTCATTCCGAGAAGAAGCTGTAAAGCACAATTCTGCCACTCTCATTGCTGCAGCCGGTCGTGGCCACAGTCGTCAAGGGGGCAGCCCTTACCACTCCTCGGTGGACGATGGTGGAAGTGCTGTGGGACATGGGATGTCACAGCTCTTGGTTGCCACCAGGTCTCCTTGTAGATGCATTTCAGGCCATTCCCCTGGCCCGTTCAAGCCTCGGCAGCTTGCAGAATGGCTGAACAATTGAATGTCAACGGTCGGCTTGCGTTCCTCACACTGTTGCTTGCTTTCGTTTGTCCACATACTTTCAAGTATTGCCTAGATACGCCTTGACTCGTCTTCCCGTTGGGAGACCTTGCGGTTCCCTAGGTGAGCGCGCCGCAGGACGTGAGCTGGCGTCGCGTGAACTCAAGCAGCCTGGGGATCCCCCCAAGGTATCCACAGAACCCTCTCGGGTTCTTTCGGCCCAACCTTAGGAAGCTGTCATCAGGTCGCTTCAAGGCACCCTTGGCGGCCCTCAGGGAGGCCTGCTGATGCCCTAGTGACCGGCTCAGCCCAGAGCAAAAGGAACCCTACTGACACGCCATGAAGGCCTTCAAAAGGCCCATCTCGGTAAAAGCTGGGCTGTACGGGCTTCGGAAGTTTGAGGTCGAAGAGTCTATAAAGCCTCAGGGCACACTCGAAAACTCGGTGCCCTGCCGGTGTATGTAGGTCTTTCAGTCTTAGGGATCCTTCACAGGGAAAACTTGACAGCATGTCCCCAGCAAGGTCGGCGGCTGAAGCCGGAGGTTTCTGCTGTTATTGCACATGCTTCAACTTCCGCGGTGCCAGTCTTTCCGCCAAATCGCAATTCAATGGCCGAAATTGTGCAATCCTGCATTCCTCAGTCTTTGGCCGAGGCGCATCTGTAGGTAAGTTGCAATGGGCCCTCGCCAGGAAGTGATCTCGAGAAATGCGCACTGAACCTGCTTGCGGACTCAAGACAACTTGAGACACTGCCTCATGCATTTGCTATGTCTGCTACGTGAGCTATGTCATGCTCTGCATTGTCACGCGCTGCGTCGGCTCTCGAGGTGGCGGTGGATTTACTCGGTAGCTGAAAGCAATCCTTTTTTCGGACTTGGTGGCCAAATCCTGCCCCTCGTGTTCTGTATTGGCCTCCTGTCGGCCAAGACGCAAGGCCCACCACCTTCGCAAACACACTTCCTCCTTCTCTTTCTGTCTCTCTCTTTCTCTGTCTCTCTCTCTCTCTCTCTCTCTCTCTCTCTCTCTCTCTCTCTCTCTCCCCTTTCCCTCTCTCTCATTCCTCACGCCTCGTGGTCCTTCTTGTCCGTAGCCGGCGCTTCCTCAAGACTCACTCTGTTTCTTTCTCGCTTTCTCACTCACTCTCTCTCTCTCTCTCTCTCTCTCTCTCTCTCTCTCTCTCTCTCTCTCTCTCTCTCTCCCCTTTCCCTCTCTCTCATTCCTCACGCCTTGTCGTCCTTCTTGTCCTCAGCCGGCGCTTCCTCAAGACTCACTCTGTTTCTTTCTCGCTTTCTCACTCACTCTCTCTCTCTCTCTCTCTCTCTCTCTCTCTCTCTCTCTCTCTCTCTCTCTCTCTCTCTCTCTCTCTCTCTGTGTTTGCTACCCCTTTCTACCACACTCCCTCATTCCTGCCTCTTCTTCAAGTGCTGCTGCGTAAAGCCTCAATCTGAGAAAAACGCTCCCTGCCCACACAAGCTCTGTCAGAATCCCGAGGAGCCAACTTCTTGAAGCGCTCCGGCGACACCGTGAAGTGCCTGGAGTTCCCTTTTCCTGACGAACGAAAAAATGTAGAACTCGCGCCGCAAAAACACTCCCCACCCCATCCAAGCCGCAGACCCACATCAATGAAGACAACGATGTGGGAAGCCGCCTCCACGAGACCACGCCGCTCCCACCCGCCCGCTCCTCCCTCCCACTCTCCAATCGACACCTCTTCCGCAGGCCGCTTCTTTGCCTCCTTGCTCGGCTTCATTGTCGGCTTCTTTACCTGCTGCCCCCCCATCCCCGCTTCCCCCCTTCCCCCCTTCCCACACGCTGCCAGCCTTGCGGGCGTTGCCCTGACCAAAACGTCTGCAAACGTGAAACAAGAACGCATCACAAAAAAAACAACGACGAAACACTGGGACCACGACGCAAATGCGGCACAACTCTGTGTCCTTCGACTGCCGGTTGTAGTAGTTGCCACAATACTTGAACTTGGCATCCACCGCCCCTCAACCCCAATGCCTCCCGCACTTAAACCCCATGAAATGTCTAAGAAGCGGACGCTTGCGCACTTTGTCTGGTGTTTCTGTGCCTGACATTTGCGCGAGCCCACGCACACACAAGCACGCACGCACGCGCTTGACCTTCCCAACAACACCTGCCTGCTTAGACCGACGAGAAGACGAGGACGGCTCTTTCGAGGACGGCTCTTTCGACAACTCCGCCTTCACCCTAGCCATCGCCTCACAGGTAGGGTCCGTGCATATTCTCCTCACTCCACACAAGCTACGCGCCCTTCTACCTCGAGGTTTGCACTTGAAGATGTGTGGCCCGTGGTTACTTTGCCTCTGCCCCCACCCCTGAGCCCAGCCCAAGCTGACTGCATTTGTATGTGTGGCAGAGCATTCTTACGCCTCACTTCAGGGGTTTCTGCGCGTTCGGGCCTTGCCAGCTGCAAGTGGCCGCCGAACGTGTTCAAACAGGAAGCGTTCGAATTGATCCAAGGCTATCCACAGCGAGCACCATCTAATTGTGACATATTGTGACCTTTCAACTTTCAAGGGTAGCAAGGTCTACGATAAGCTTGAGCTCGTGGAGTTCAGGTTCCAGCCCTCCAGAACTTGAAGCTCCATTGATCACATATGTATGACATCTATTGATATCTCAGATATCCCAACCGTCCCAACCCAAAGCTAAACTTCCAAGACGCTCAAGACTTACAAGCGTCAAAGAAAGCTCTCACCTGAACGAAGGTCAAATTCGGCTAAATTCACAGCTTCTCACAACTGACACGCAACGACACGAGGAGGCAGAGACACTTTTGCGCATGCATGTGAGATGGCGTCAAGATTATGTCCGGTCTTTGACGGTCAACATCCACATATGCTTCAAAGAAGGCGCGGCTGCCATTCCACATCGGATCAATGTTCTGCGAACGATGAGAACATGGTGAGCAGCCGCAACACAACGCCCGTGTCAATTCAGACCTTGGCTGACCTTGGGACCTTAAGGTTCTTGTACTGACTCGCTTACCCATGCACGTGCCCTCTTTCCCAGAGAAGCTCACGTCCGACAAATAATTGGGGGCTGCATGTCTTAAAGCTGATCCTGAACGAATGCCGGCGTTAGGCTGATGGAGCTCTGAACGAGCAGGGACTGATAGTCGAACAAAAGACCCGCACTCGGACAAGATGTCCTGTAGAAAAGATCCCGGCGAACATCCGAAAGGATGTGACATCATCAAAGCAGAAGCTGCGTCAACTGTCAAAGGTCGTTTGTCTGGTACAAGTACGTGCTAACTCCTTCAAAGCAGTCTCTTTCCTCAGGCGCGGCTGCGCCAGAATGTGTACGAATTGTGCGTGCTACTGGCATGAAGTCTCTGTGCTCAGTAAGACCACGTAAGGAGTAAGGAGCAAGCTTGCTAGTACACGGAGATGCCTCCATTCCGCTCATGTCCATAGCTTGTCGCGTATGCCGTTATGCCGGGCCTTGCTGCTGCATTGGGCTCCGTGTTGTGGGCGTCCACACATAGTAGCTGGCCTTTTTGCACTCCTGGCGAGCAACGTGGCGTTGAAATGACTGTGGTGAGGAGTATGCTGGACAAAGTCCGTCCGAAACAGCGCCCCTAGATGCCCCCAGCCAAGCTTTATCGGCGCACTTGACCTGAAAGCAAGTAGTGTGTGAGCACGCGCACGCACGTGGGCGGGCCGGCACGCGGGGATGCGGGAGTGCCCGCAGGCCCGTGTGGGCGCCTTGGGGATGGGGAGAATTGGGCGTGTCGGCGGGCGTTTAAAGGTTGAGGTTCCCAAAACTGTCCTGAAGCTGGAAGCACGCAAAGTTCTTGTAGAAGAAAAGCAACTATTTCGTGGATGCAGGAGTCAGAGGAATCCAATGCAACATTGACACCTCCCTGAAACCTTCAGCCGTCAACCATGAAACCCATCGGCCCTGGCAACCTCGATCTCGGAGCAGATGCAGCAGCTGGTCGGCGGCACCATTCCAGCTTCCGGCAGCACTTGCCACATGTTCCACCGCCTTGTGGGGGAGAGCGAGAGCGAGAGCGAGAGCGAGAGAGAGAGAGAGAGAGACAGAGAGAGAGAAAGAAAGAGAGAAAGAAAGAGAAAGAGAGAAAGGGCATTTCCGCTAGAAGGGAACCACCGGAGGGCCAAGATGGGGATATGCTACTTCATACCATCACAATGCCCTTGAATATAGAAACTCTCAAGAGGATACGATAGTGCTGCAATATTTGGGCCATTGGAGTTGCGCCCGGAGTGAGTACAGTGGCTTCGGGAAACGCCCTTTTCGCAGTTGCAGGGTGCTGCAAGCAAAACTTAGGTGCCGCAACAACTCTTCAATTCGGTGAACTTTCTTGGAAAACCCTAATCTCGGGCTTTGTCTGTCCCCTCCTTCCACTCTCCGCTCAGGGCTTTGGTGGTTAGCACATGCCCCGCATCGAACACCTGAACTTTCCGCTTTGGAGGGCTTTCGGCGCGAAGTACACATACCCTTCTGAGCCTTGCCCGCCTGATGCCCAGGCAGTGCGATAGTCGAAAACGTAGCGAAATGTGGTCGCTTCCCTAGACTAGGGTTTTGTTTAGAGTACCTAGCGCAATACGATGCTTGAAATACACATTTTAGGTTTCAGCCCCCAAATGTGTTGCCCAGTGGCTGTGATCTCAGGTCGAGGCCCAGCCAGGAAGACAAGCAGGGCTTGGCTCCCGGTGCCTTGGACTGAAGTGAGGCTTCAGAAACCCGAACGCTGCCAGATATCAGGCCTCTGGTTGGGATTTCGGGCTGCGACCCTCGCACGCACATGCGCTCGCGCGCTCGCGAGCAGACAGGCAAGGCTTCAGGCGTCTAACAAGCGCATCTTGTTGCTGGTAACACCGATTGTTTCATCGCAAAGTCCGTACTGGAGTCTTCCTTTAAGGAGGTGAGGGTTTCCTGCTGGCACAAGCAGTCTGAAAATCAGGTCCTCTCAGTTGTCACGAAGCAGAACTCAACAAAATCGGACATCAGCCCAAGCTGTCTTCAAGAAACCCTCAGACTTCAGAGGGGGCTCTCAGCACAGGGTTTCGACGCTCACTCGCACAAGGCCGGCATGAGGGTTTTGCGGCTGAGTGACTTAGTGTCCTGTGTGCTAAAATGTGCCAATAATGGGTGCAGTGCTGTGACAGTTTAGGGTTTAGGGTTTAGGGTTTAGGGTTTAGGGTTTAGGGTTTAGGGTTTAGGGTTTAGGGTTTAGGGTTTAGGGTTTAGGGTTTAGGGTTTAGGGTTTAGGGTTTAGGGTTAGATTTGCACGAAGCGACCGGAGCTGCAGCCCGTCACGGACACAACCTCCTTGCCGACTGCAGCCTGTCATGCGGAGCCCTTTGTTGCCGGACTTCTAGGGCCCTCACCCGGAGCCCTCAACCCTTAACCCAAACCGTAAACCCTAAACCCTAAACCCTAAACCCTAAACCCTAAACCCTAAACCCTAAACCCTAAACCCTAAACCCTAAACCAAACCGCCCCTGCTTGTAACCAGCTCGCGGCCTGGTCGGCGAGCTGGTAGAGAACATCCCAGCCGAAGCGAAGATCGCGGTGCACTTCGCAGCTGAGGTTGAGAGGCCCACGGCCAGGCCGGCTCCGTCGGACGACCTTTTGGGGTTTAGGGTTTTCTCGGCCTTGGTTTGGCTTAGGGCTTAGGGTTTTTTTGGCACCCGACTAGCCACAGCAATGCGGGGTTTCAAGGTCGGTCTCGGAAAATGGTAAAATCTCCTCATGGGATTTGGGCTCACGTTCCCTACCCAGAGGATTCTTGCCTTCAGGCATTCAGAGGAGGAAATGCGTGGGTTGAAGACACCTGATGCAGCCCTAGATTGCCCAACAAGCACCAAATCCGGAAACCCAAAGCAACACACCATAGGGTTTAGGGTTTTGGGTTCTGGGGTTTAGGGTTTCTTGGACGTCGAAGGGCACCTTAAGAGGGCACCTCAAAGGTGCTCTTGAAGCGTCAAGCCTCGTATACTCTGAAGAAGTTAAAGCAAGCCACGGCCAGCAGAAAGGCAGCGGTGCCCGCCCCCTTGTTGTGAGCATCGATAGACATGACCTGTACAGTAGCCAGGGAAAGACAGCGCGTCCTAAAGGAGGACTGACACAAAAGCTTCCCCCCCCGCCTGCCCCTGCTGCACGCCGGCTCCACGCAACAACTCGATGAGTTGGTCAGCAGCCTCTTCCCACGCATCACCGGCCATCTCCACGTGGAACTTCTCTGGGAGGTCGTCGAGCACGTGCCAGAACGCAAATTGCACCTAACCGCAGCTGCATTTCAACGCAGGTCACGGCAAAGGCTCAAAGCAGCCACAAGAGCATGGAGACGCGAGCCCTTGATCTGACATTTATGCCGATGCACGGTGCGGCCTGCGCAGTTGCAGGACGCAGTGATGGACATGACCTCCTTGCCTTGCGAAGCAGAACAGCCATCTTGGTGGTGCTGATGCCAAGGACCTCAGTACATCGTACACTGCAGCCTCACCAGGCTGCAAAGCTCACCCTTTGCCACTGGTCACCAGGAACATGAGTAACCCCCTCATGCTTAGCGTCAGTTCCGTGGGCACTGCACCCCAAAAATCCAGCTTGGCTGCGTTGCGCATTGAACCCTTTCCAATCAAGCGCCACCGGCCGGGAGCCTACGGAAGCTGCACAAGCAACGCCACATGCAGATGCAGTGAAACCTCTCGCGACTGCCGAGCACCAAGCCTTTTCGATCAGCTGCGTAGTAGGCACAGAACATGGCATCACGGTCCGGATGCACATTGTGAGCATCGACAGCCAGGAGCTGCTCATGCTGGACACCCCTGACGATCAGGCAGCCGCATGGCAAAACAACTTGCAGGAAGGATCTACCAGCTGCCTTGCTTCATCGAGTTCATTCTAACAGAACAAGTCCAATAGGAGCACATCCAACGCCATCGCTCTAACACCCATCATGAAGTCCAAGTGGCGCGCGGTGCATTGCCAGAACCAGCTTGCTGGCTGCAAACTCCCAGGCGCCGCCGCCGACCGAAATGTATCGGACGTCCTCCGCCTGGGCAGAGGAAAAAGTTCACCGGGTCCCTTGGGAGGTCTGTGTGCCAGGGTAGACGGCACTAGCTGCAAACTGCCTGTGACAGCTCTCCCACGTAATAGAAGATCGCAATGGTCAGCGGATGCTGGGGCACGCTCGAGGAACTCATCGTGATGGAAATGATCTCTCGGCCACTCGCTCGTGAGCACGCCCACTTGTGCAGCTCTTCCATATCAGTGCCTGACTTGACCTGCCAAGCGAAACCACCAAAGCAGATTCTTCTACGGAATTCAACGCAGTCAAGTTCTACCCGCCACTCTGCTCGCAGTCTTCCCATCATCCACCCTACCAACCCTCTCTCTCTCTCTCTCCCTCTCTCTCTCTCTCTCTCTCTCTCTCTCTCTCTCTCTCTTTTTCTTCTTCTTCTACGGGGCATGAGGAAGGGTTCCCCCCTCCCCGCGCGTTCTCTCTCTCTCTCTGGCTGCTCAGTGAATGTCAGGCCTGAACGACCGCAATGCTCTCGTGGCATCACAGCCATCACAACAGAGGCAACCAACCCTATCCACAGATTCTCCTCTCTTGAAGCACGCTCCTTCCCAGGTCGTGTTTCTCCAGGCCTACTCCTTCCAAGCCCGAATCATGCGAAACTCCGCCAGACCTATGTACCTACTACCATGAGCCGGTCCATGCGAATTGGTGACCACAATCACAATCACAAAAACATGCAGGAGGAATAAGGCCCGCTAGCGTACCTACTGTGCACGTGCATTTGGTTCGTGGTTGCGGCTGGCAGCTTGTGATCGGAAATGGAAGTTTTGCTCGAATATGCGCTTTGCTTGGAGGTGATGTCAATGCCTTATTGTTGACGTGGCATTTTTACGCGACCCCACCCCATCCCCCCCCCCCCCCCCCCCCCCCCCCCCCGCCCCCCCGCAATAAAGGCAATTTACTCCCTCTCGGGCAGGAAAGAAGGGATGACTCGCCACAGGATTCTGTCGCCGTGTTCCCTCCAGGAATACTTTGGTCTCTCTCCATGCCTTTCTTTCCATATCTTTCTAGGGGCTTGGGGCCGAAGCCCCGGGCTTCTTTACCCGCCCCTGTATTTGGGGTGGTGTGTTGGTTCGGTTGGGTGCCATATCTCTCTCTCTCTCTCCCTCTTTCTTTCTTTCTTTCTAGGGGCATGGGGTCGGCGCCCCGGGCATCTTTGCCCGCCCCTGTTTTCGGGGTGGTTGCTGGTGTTGTCTGGTGCCCGGGTGCACACTGCCGACTTCCTCGCTTCCCCCCATACATGTGCTCCCTGGCCCCCCCCCATCCCCCCCATCGGCAGTGCTTCCTGGCCCCCGACCTAGCGTGAAACCCTTGGTGGTCAGTTACCTAGCGTTCTGTCCCCGTTAGGAGGCACTAACACTGGCCTAGTTTCACCCCCAACAAAGCACAACCTCTGCCCCAACACCCCCGAAACCGGCAAACCTCCCGAAGTCCTCCCCTCCCCCACAAGAGAAATCCCTGGGTTCTCCCCTGACCACTGCAAGGGCGAGACAACTGTGTCGCAAGGGCTTTGGTGTGCACGGGCATGCTTACACAAAAGATGTACACCTACACCCCCTTCAGTTCGATATCACTCAAGCCCCTCTCTCTCTCTCTCTGCACGCATGGCCCCCTCCCGAAGGAGAGAGCCGCCCCAAGGGGCGCGCGATGTCCAAGGTCTGTTGCTGCCCATCTTCTCTCTCTCTCTCTCTCTCTCTCTCTCTCTCTCTGCGGGATTCTTTAGACTCCACTGGGTGGGACGGTCAGCACTCCAGGATACTCGCACTCCTGCCATACTCGGCGGGACACTCTGTGGCCTGACACTTGGCGGGACTCGCTGGCGGGTGCTTCAGGACACTCTGTGGGATACCCTCTGGGGGCACTCCAGGATTGATTCTCTGGAGATGGAAGACACGGGCCAGGACGGGCGAGGAGAATGGTTGACTTAAAACCTAACAACCCCCACACCGTGGGTGCTAAAGAAAGCAAATCCTGGAACTCAAGCGTAAACCCCCCTCAAACCAAAAAACGGAAAGTGTGGGCAAAAACAAGTACGGCAGCGAGCTCCTTCGACAAGAATCAGAATTGTCGGCCCCTTCCCAGACCCATTGAATCCATCAAGGGGGCCGGGGCAGGGGGGGGGGCTAAGCGAAGTGAACTTTGCGAGCCATCGAAGTACTGGACCCCAGATTGATGCTCCCAGACCCTAAACCCTAAACCCTAAACCCTAAACCCTAAACCCTAAACCCTGATAGAGCGCCTCGAAGGCCACTTGGAGCTCACCCCGCCCGGGCAGCTCGGTGCAGAAGTAGGCGCAGGCCACCTCCACGTCCTGCACGGCGTGGAGGTCGATCCAGAGAACCTTGGAGGGCTGCAGCTGCGCCCCTGTGAATCCTACGCCTTCTCAACCGAGCGTCCCCCCAAGAAAGTAAACAACAATCATCCCTGTATTGCCCTTATAAGAAAGTTCGTTTTCTTTTGGGGGGGGGGGGATTCTGAAGCAAATAGCTGAGTATCAAAAGCCAGTCTACACCTATCACCGACGTGGGCTTGCTGCAGCGTCGAGTGTTGTTGTGGGTTCAGTGCTTCCAGTCCAGGGTTGAAGCGGTCCCTTATGGCTTTGCTCTTGCGCTTATAAGATCAGACTTTAGCCCTGAATGTACTGTTTCCGGCAAGCATGTCCTGCTGGAGGGTGTTCGGTGTGGACTGGAAATAGTTGCTTGGTGGGAAAACACTGGTGAGCAGTGCTACAAACTGCCTGCATCGTGGATCATATGAATGATATACGTTTGCTCTTGAGCTGGCGTCAGGAAGTCCCGCCAGTTCTCCCGTGTTTCGGGCTGGGCCATGTTGCAGTTGTAGTGCTGTCTGTTTGTGCAGTGGGGGTTTATAGTGGCCAAGCCACCAAGTGCTACTCGCGCGACACCAAAAGCCGAAAGTCCCACAACCCAAAGCCCTGAAAGATTCGGGAAGAGTGCAGGCCCGAATGCGTTTACTTCTACGCTATGCAAACTCCTTTTGCAGTCACAGCAATTCGCCAGCAAAGCTGTGGAACATCAACCCCTGACCCCTCGTTAACCCTAAACCCTAAACCCTAAACCCGAAACCCAAAACCCCCGTTACATCCCTTGAACCCCAACCCTGAGGCCAGAAACCTGGCCCTGTTCCACGCCTTGGGCCTCCAGCCCCCGGAGTACGGACTGGGCAAGCGGCGGCAGCACGGGATTCAGGATTGCAGGTTAGGGCCTGGGGCTTGATAGGATTTGAGTCTTAGAGGAGTTGGGTAAGTTTGGGCTAAGACTTGAGTCCGAGTTCGGTTTTTGCGCGGGCCCAAAGACCCCATGAAACCTGCAGGGGGCCTGGCAACTAGAGGTGTCAGGTACGCAGCCCCAGCGCCGGGCAGAGAAGTCTTGTTGTCGCACACCTCACATCTGACCCGCCTGAATAGCAAGCGCCCACGAGTCGGCGTGGGATTCTGCCTCCACAAAACCTCAAGCATTGCAAGCGAAGCCACTGAGTAGAGCCAGGACAGCTTGTTCAGACTAGGACCAGACCCCAGCCCAAACTGATGGGCATGAAAGCCACCAAGGGCGTGGCCAACAGTCTCTCCTGTTCGCGAAACGGGCGTGTACACAAACTGCAGGGGCCTCAGCGAATCTCAACATAACACAACTTCTTGCTCAACAACATCGCCTCTGTAGCAACTTCGGAACTTGGGTCCAAAGGCCAGAACCCATCGTCAGTGCCCGCTCTCAACATCAGCTGCGTGCATCACCGTGCATCTCTTGAGCTGGGTCGCAGGTTGTCGTCGGTTGCAAGGTCTGAGAGGCGCAGCTCGTTTCCTCCGCAAAGGGTCCCCTCTGAGAGCCTCCTGCTTCTAAGAGGGACATGCCGATGTGGAGCCATGCAAGTCTGAGCGTCGTAAGGCTTTGTCATGCAGGAGCAGTCGAAATTGGGCCGTAGAGATGCCTGCATCGTTTGCCAGCAATCCTGGGCTTCGGCAACTCTAACAATGCAACCCATGGCCAAAAAAATGTGAAAAAAAATATCTGGGACCGTATCTAAGGCACATATCACCAGGGGCGTTCGAGTGGCTCTTGAGGCCCAGCACGGTCTCCTCCGCAGGCAACACCTTCTGCACCACGGAGCCTCTGGGTTGTGATTTTCTGTGTGCTTGCTCTCAGGCAAGGATTTCCACGCTTTCGGGTGCCGAGCTTCCGGATTCTTCTTCACAGAAAAGGTGTTAGAAAAACGGCACTGCACGACGGCATACTTGCCGGCGCCTAAACGCAATCCTTCGAGAGAAGGTTACTCGAAACAACAATTCTCCAGAATGCTTGCAAGCCACCGTCCAGGCGCGCCACATCCACAGTGATTGCCATCGCAGGCTGCGTGATGCTTTCTAGTTCCAGGCCACTTCAAGGATTCAGTGCTGCAGTATTCATCGCGTCTGCTCGCAAAGGTAAGGGCTCGGTGCTGTGCAGAATGACGACGATATGGCTACGGAGGTCGCACGTGTCATGCTAATACTGACATGTTCTCATCTCGCGGAAGATTCCGGAAGGTAGCACAAACTCCTGCCTCTCCACGTGTCAAGCTGATCCCGCCCCAGCCTCGCCCGCATGGCTGGGAGGAAGTGTGGCAAGCTGAGCCTGAGTCAGTAACGACAACTCCGGCAACGATCCCAGATTTCGAGAATGCTCACCGCGTCACCTGCAGCCTCGTAATATCGCTGGCATCAGTGAATGGACACCTCGGGTGAGGCTTCAGGTCTCCCATCACCATCAGCATTAGAAGCAACACCGGCCCCAACAGCCCTGTCGAGGGTGGTACCCTTCCTTGAAGGCCGGACAAGCACCGATCGCATCCGCTCGCTTCTCCTGCCGGACAGATGTGCAACATGTGCAACATGGCATGTGGCGCCTTCACCGCGCAAACTACAGAGACTAAGAATGCTACAATCGCCATCCCAATGGTTCGTCGATTCCTTGATCCACTCAACCATGTCATCGTTCTTGCTGTATGGGCAGCCATCTGCAAAGGCTGGGCAGCCGTCAGAGACGGCGCCGGGAATGTGTGAAGCAGGTTCTCCTTCACCCCCGCCCATGGCTGCACAGCGAAAATCTTTTTTGTACAAGCTCGACCGCTATCAAGGAGCCAGATGCAAGCATATCGCTCAGCAAGAACTCACACTGCCTCTTGCGGTGGGGATTTAGCAGAAACAAAGCACAAACTTTACATCATACATGCCGTCAGCGAGACACACCTCTATTTGCAGATGTTCGCGTGGGTTTTTAAGATCATAGGGAGCCGAGTCTCATCAGAGTGTTGAGCTCGTTGCCTGACAAAACGAGGTTTGGCTACAGCCGGAGCTTCGAGAAGCCGTTCAAGCACTTCCCTCAGGCTCTGGCTCCACTCCGAAACCTTTCCTTGAAGCTCCTGCCAAACAAGGGATCTCTCTCAGTTCGACTTGTTCCTGCTCTGTGTTTCGGCAGCAATTTATAAGAGCGACGGCTCTCTGTGTCTTTTCAGGCGTGTCGTCTTGTTGAAAAAAGTGGCAGGCGCCTCGCCGCGTGCCGGAAGGCTCGGGGCTGCCCCACGTTGGGGTGACAAGGTTTGCAGAAGTGTTCGGCTTTGGGGCGATTCGGGCTGTCCCAGCTGATGCTCATGATGCTCGGGCTTTGGGGGTGACAAGGTTTGCGCAAGTCTCGGCTGGTGCTCCTGATGCTCCGGAAGGCTCCGGGCTGTCCCAGCTGATGCTCATGATGCTCGGGCTTTGGGGGTGACAAGGTTTGCGCAAGTCTCGGCTGGTGCTCCTGATGCTCCGGAAGGCTCCGGGCTGTCCCAGCTGATGCTCATGATGCTCGGGCTTTGGGGGTGACTGCTCCGGAAGGCTCCGGGCTGTCCCAGCTGATGCTCATGATGCTCGGGCTTTGGGGGCGACAAGGTTTGCGCAAGTCTCGGCTGGTGCTCCTGATGCTCCGGAAGGCTCCGGGCTGTCCCAGCTGATGCTCATGATGCTCGGGCTTTGGGGGTTGACAAGGTTTGCTCAAGTCTCGGCTGGTGCTCCTCATGCTCCGGAAGGCTCCGGAAGGCTCCGGGCTGTCTCAGCTGATGCTCATGATGCTCGGGCTTTGGGGGTGACAAGGTTTGCGCAAGTCTCGGCTGGTGCTCCTGATGCTCCGGAAGGCTCCGGGCTGTCCCAGCTGATGCTCATGATGCTCGGGCTTTGGGGGTGACAAGGTTTGCGCAAGTCCCGGCCGGTGCTCCTGATGCTCCGGAAGGCTCCGGGCTGTCCCAGCTGATGCTCATGATGCTCGGGCTTTGGGGGTGACAAGGTTTGCGCAAGTCTCGGCTGGTGCTCCTGATGCTCCGGAAGGCTCCGGGCTGTCCCAGCTGATGCTCATGATGCTCGGGCTTTGGGTGACAAGGTTTGCGCAAATCTCGGCTGGTGCTCCTGATGCTCCGGGATGGTGGGGCTTTGGGGGTGACAAGGTTTGCGCAGGTCTCGGCTGGTGCTCCTGATGCTCCGGAAGGCTCCGGGCTGTCCCAGCTGATGCTCATGATGCTCGGGCTTTGGGGGTGACAAGGTTTGCGCAAGTCTCGGCTGGTGCTCCTGATGCTCCGGAAGGCTCGCCGGGCTGTCCCAGCTGATGCTCATGATGCTCGGGCTTTGGGGGTGACAAGGTTTGCGCAAGTCTCGGCTGGTGCTCCTGATGCTCCGGAAGGTCCCAGCTGATGCTCATGATGCTCGGGCTTTGGGGGTGACAAGGTCTGCGCAAGTCTCGGCTGGTGCTCCTGATGCTCCGGAAGGCTCCGGGCTGTCCCAGCTGATGCTCATGATGCTCGGGCTTTGGGGGTGACAAGGTTTGCGCAAGTCTCGTCAAGTGCTCCTGATGAACCGGAAGGCTCCGGGCTGTCCCAGCTGATGCTCATGATGCTCGGGCTTTGGGGGTGACAAGGTTTGCGCAGGTCTCGGCTGGTGCTCCTGATGCTCCGGAAGGCTCCGGGCTGTCTCAGCTGATGCTCATGATGCTCGGGCTTTGGGGGTGATAAGGTTTGCGCAAGTCTCGGCTGGTGCTCCTGATGCTCCGGAAGGCTCCGGGCTGTCCCAGCTGACGCTCATGATGCTCGGGCTTTGGGGGTGATAAGGTTTGCGCAAGTCTCGGCTGGTGCTCCTGATGCTCCGGAAGGCTCCGGGCTGTCCCAGCTGATGCTCATGATGCTCGGGCTTTGTGGTGATAAGGTTTCTGCAAGTCTCGGCTGGTGCTCCTGATGCTCCGGAAGGCTCCGGGCTGTCCCAGTTGATGCTCATGATGCTCGAACTTTGGGGGTGACAAGGTTGTGCAAGTCTCGGCTGGTGCTCCTGATGCTCGGGCTGTCCCAGCTGATGCTCATGATGCTCGGGCTTTGGGGGTGACAAGGTTTGCGCAAGTCTCGGCTGATGCTCCTGATGCTCCTGATGCTCCGGAAGGCTCCGGGCTGTCCCAGCTGATGCTCACAATGCTCGGGCTTTGGGGGTGACAAGGTTTGCGCAAGTCTCGGCTGGTGCTCCTGATGCTCCGGAAGGCTCCGGAAGACTCCGGGCTGTCTCAGCTGATGCTCATGATGCTCGGGCTTTGGGGGTGACAAGGTTTGCGCAAGTCTCGGCTGGTGCTCCTGATGCTCCGGAAGGCTCCGGGCTGTCTCAGCTGATGCTCATGATGCTCGGGCTTTGGGGGTGACAAGGTTTGCGCAAGTCTCGGCTGGTTTCTCCTGATGCTCCGGAAGGCTCCGGGCTGTCCCAGCTGATGCTCATGATGCTCGGGCCTTGGGGGTGACAAGGTTTGCGCAAGTCTCGGCTGATGCTCCTGATGCTCCGGAAGGCTCCGGGCTGTCCCAGCTGCTCATGATGCTGGGGTTTTGGGGGTGACAAGGTTTGCGCAAGTCTCGGCTGGTGCTCCTGATGGTCTGGAAGGCTCCGGGCTGTCCCAGCTGATGCTCATGATGCTCGGGCTTTGGGGGTGACAAGGTTTGCGCAAGTCTGGGCTGATGCTCCTATCCCGGCTTTGGGGGTGACAAGGTTTGCGCAAGTGGGCTGATGCTCCTGATGCTCGGGCTGTCCCAGCTGATGCTCATGATGCTCGGGCTTTGGGGGTGACAAGGCTTGCGCAAGTCTGGGCTGATGCTCCTGATGCTCTGGAAGGCTCCCGGCTGTCCCAGCTGATGCTCATGATGCTTGGGCTTTAGGGGTGAAAGGTTTGCGCAACTCGGCTGGTGCTCCTGATGCTCCGGAAGGCTCCGGGCTGACCCAGCTGATGCTCATGATGCTTGGGCTTTGGGTGTGACAAGTTCCGGCCTGACCCAGCTGATGCTCATGATGCCTGGACTTTGGGGGTGACAAGGTTTGCGCAAGTCTCGGCTGATGCTCCTGACGCTCCGGAAGGTTCCGGGCTGACCCAGCTGATGCTCATGATGCTTGGGCTTTGGGTGTGACAAGTTCCGGGCTGACCCAGCTGATGCTCATGATGCTTGGGCTTTGGGGGTGACAAGGTTTGCGCAAGTCTCGGCTGATGCTCCTGACGCTCCGGAAGGTTCCGGGCTGACCCAGCTGATGCTCATGATGCTTGGGCTTTGGGTGTGACAAGTTCCGGCCTGACCCAGCTGATGCTCATGATGCCTGGGCTTTGGGGGTGACAAGGTTTGCGCAAGTCTCGGCTGGTGCTCCTGATGCTCCGGAAGGCTCCGGGCTGTCCCAGCTGATGCTCATGATGCCTGGGCTTTGGGGGTGACAAGGTTTGCGCAAGTCTCGGCTGATGCTCCTGACGCTCCGGAAGGTTCCGGGCTGACCCAGCTGATGCTCATGATGCTTGGGCTTTGGGTGTGACAAGTTCCGGGCTGACTAGCTGATGCTCATGATGCCTGGGCTTTGGGGGTGACAAGGTTTGCGCAAGTCTCGGCTGATGCTCCTGACGCTCCGGAAGGTTCCGGGCTGACCCAGCTGATGCTCATGATGCTTGGGCTTTGGGTGTGACAAGTTCCGGACTGACCCAGCTGATGCTCATGCTGCCTGGGCTTTGGGGGTGACAAGGTTTGCGCAAGTCTCGGCTGATGCTCCTGACGCTCCGGAAGGTTCCGGCTGACCCAGCTGATGCTCATGATGCTTGGGCTTTGGGTGTGACAAGTTCCGGGCTGACCCAGCTGATGCTCATGATGCTTGGGCTTTGGGGGTGACAAGGTTTGCGCAAGTCTCGGCTGATGCTCCTGACGCTCCGGAAGGTTCCGGGCTGACCCAGCTGATGCTCATGATGCTTGGGCTTTGGTTGTGACAAGTTCCGGGCTGACCCAGCTGATGCTCATGATGGCTTTGGGGGTGACAAGGTTTGCGCAAGTCTCGGCTGAT